TTAGGATGGGAGTGTCGGAGACAGTGCGATTGGCACAGGACAGAGCGGAGTTTAGGGCTGTTGTACATAGGGTCGCTATGAGTCGCAAGTGACTCAACAGCACATAACAACAACAAACAAAAATAAATTTTAATACTTAAAATATACTTACTTTTAATACTTAAAATACTTATATTTTAGACATCCTTCATTGTCAGTGTCTGCACAGATCGACTTCATTTTTTTTAAAAGCAATACTGTACTGTTTCTGTTTTCTCTGGTCTTTTGGTCATCTAATATTTCCTGGAGAGGGTGAAGCCAGAATGTTCCCTGGAGTCAAGGATTCTGAAGCTTCGTCTGACATATTTTGGGCATGTTGCAAGGAGGGACTGGTCCTTGGAAAGGGACATCATGTTTGGCAGAGTGGAGGGGAAGCGAAGGAGAGGAAGACCTTTGGTGAGATGGATCGATTCTGTGACTGGACCAGTGGGAATAAGTGCGTTTGAGATGGCTAGGTTGTCACAGCATAGAACAGCATTTAGAACTCTTGTACATAGGGTTGCTGTGAGTTGCAAGCGACTCGATGGCACATAACAACAACAACAACATTTCCATTCACTTAATGCTGCAGTTAACTTCTTTATGGGTGGGTTTCCCCAAATATTTTTTAGAAAAATGCTATATACGGAAAAATTATTTGGGTACATCTAAGAATGTATTTTTTTAAATCTTAATAAGTACTGATTATCCATCATAAGTTTGGCCCAAATATTAAAGAGTGTGTTGGTCTTCATTGCATCACCAAGGAGGTCCCTAGGTGGCACAGAGTATGTGACCCCTAGGTGACACCTTGGAATTGTGGTGCTGGAGAACAGTGTGAATAACCCATGGGCTGCCACAGAACAGGCCAATCTCTCGTGGAGAAGTTATTACCTAGGTGCTCCTTAGATGCAAGGAGAGTGCAGTGTCGTTCCATATACTTTGGACATGTTGTCAGAAGAAGCCAGTCCTTGGAAAAAGACTTCATGCTGAGAAAGGTTTAGGGTACACCCACAAAATGACTGATTGACATAGTGACTTTCACAATGTACTCAAGCATGTAAGAAATCCTAGAGAAGGAACACAGTTCAGATCGAGGGTTGCTGTGAGAGGCACATCAAAACGCCACTAAGCTAAAGGTTGCCAGTTCAGACCCAATCCATTGGGACTGTGGACTGGTCTGCTTCCACACAGTTTGGGCCTCGCAAACCCTCAGGAGCAGCTCAACTTGGAAACACCTGGGCTCACATTGCTGTGAATGGACATGACAGCTGTGGATTCCTTTTATGGGTTCAGGGTCACCCAGGCAATGAGAAAGGCAACTGGAACTGGACTTTCTCTTGGAGATCATGGTTAGCAGAGAGCCTTCTAGACAATGTAATCTGAAAGTGGACATCCAAAGTATGTGCCCTGAAGTCTTACAAGCTAAGTATCAGCCAGGCCTGAAAGATCCCACTAGGATCTGGTCAGCCGCTCATGCTGACGTGAGCAAGCTTGAGGTCAGCTAATGTTCTAAAATGCAGACAGATCCATTCAGTAATGATAGTTCAGATCGTTAACCTCTCATTTGCCAATTTTTAAAAAAGTAACATTTTGGATTCAGAAATCTTTTTGTTCTGTGTTGTATTTCAGATTGTTTTACTGTGTTTAGATACAGTTCAATAGGAGAGATACTTACGTAAAAGGAAGTTGTTTGAAAGAAAAATATGTGTTCTGTCATTGTTGAGTAGAAACAGTAGACCTTGTACTTCAAGTTTCCAAGGAATATAAATAGACCATTGCTGTGTGAGGGGCTAGACGCTACGTTTTTATTTGATGGCATTATTTTTAAATGAACCAGAAACAGGTCTTCCACCCTTCCTCTACATTCACATCGCCAGCATAATTCACTGTGCTTGCTGACTGGACCTCCACCACCATCGTGCAGGGAACCCTGGGGCTTGGAGGTCAGGCACTGGGCTGACACCCAGCAAGGCCGCAGGTCAGCCTGCCACATGGCTGCGCGACAAAGATGCAGTAGCCTGTTTTCTTCATGATTTTAGCTAGAGTTGGAATAGAGTCAACAGCAGTGGATTGAGTTGGGTTTTAATTGGCATTTTTGTGAAAATGCAAGCAGCTTTAATCCCTATTTTCTGGGAGCTCTAGTGTTAAGAAGCTCCACTGCAATCCCAAAGGCATGTGTTTCAAATCCACCAGCCGCCCGTGGAGAAGGGTGCACAGTCTCCTTCCGTGCAATTTACTGCCTCTACAAACCCGCGGGAGGGTCAGAAATGGGTCGGTTCCTACTCCCCTGTACTCAACAACATAGTAAACTGCAGTCTGTAGAAAATAAGGGGTTGCAATTTTATTATTCACAGAGGCAACTAGACCATAGAGTGACCTCATTCCACTTAACTCTCCTGCAGATTTTTAACTCTTGTTTCTCTGAAGCACAGAAGCAATATTCAGTTTCTCTGTTTTTTCCCCTTTTTTACCAGTTGAGCCACAGAAGACATCGTCTGTGGAGAACGACTCACTGCATGTAAGGTCACTGTACTGGTTCACTTTGCTGTCCTCGTCTGCCTTCATTCTGTGTTGAATTTGGGAGCAGTGGGGTGGGACTTCTCCATGAATGGGATTGTCTGCATTTCTTCAGGAGATGAGGTCTCCACGCTTGTGTAGCACAGTGACACAGCTCTGGCTTGGTTTTTTCCACAATCAACTTTATTGAGGTCATGAAATGTAGTCCTTTTCATCAGAAAGAGTCGTTCTGAGGTCAGCAGAATTGTGTTTTCAGAAGATCTTTAGTCCGTTGTTGGCAAAGGTTACAGATTCTTTACAACTTCTTCCATAGCTGGTTCTGAGGAAAATGAAGAAGCCCCATTTCTGTCAGATTAAAAAAACTACCCTAATAATGTTGTTAGAAATTCTTTAAAGAGCTTTCTCTTGTTAAATATTATACTAGGATCAAATACACCAGAGTATCTGGTTTTTACACAAATAACAAGCGCATTGTACAGTTTTTGCAATCCGCAGCCCCTCCAGTTAGGCCCCGGTGAGCACTGAGTGCGTAATATGCGAACAAGGCCTTATTTCTCTCACTCCCGGGAAGCCCCTCTTTTGTAGCAACAGGAGAAACTTAGGCATAGTCGGCTCGGTAACAGGGAAGGAAAAAACCCACGTGGTTACATTCAGCTCTGCCTTCTGGGGCTTGAGAAGGTTCTAAGATGTGGCTGGCACCCACAGAACCATCACAAAGTGCACTTCCTCGCTCCCCCAGTCCCCAGGAGCTGCCTTTCCCCCACACCAGCTTTAGCTTGCCTTTCTCCACATTCAGGCTGCCATACATAGGTCTGGTGTTGGAAGGGTCTCTGGGTGGTGCAGTTGGTTGAGTGCCTGCCTACTAACTAAAAAGTTGGTGGTTTGGACCCTTCCTAGGCAGCCTCAGAATAAGGTCTGTGGATCTGCATCCCTGAGCTGACAGCCCCTGTGGAGCATTTCTGCTGTGCACACGGGGCTGCCACAAGTCAGAGTCGACCCAACAGCAACAGACAACAGCACGGCAGGCCAAGACGCTCCCTTCAGTGAGAAAATCAATTGGCAAGACTTTCAGCAAAAGGAAAATTGATGGCAGAAGCCTCCAGAGTTTTTAAAGAAAACCATGAAGGTTTTTTTTTTTAATGGGAAGAGGATTCAAGAAACGTTGTCTCCCCTATTTTCTTGCCATAGCTATTTTAAAGACAAGGAGTGTAAATCCAGCAAGGGGGAGTGATCATGAGGTGAATGGAAGCTGCTCCTGCCCTTCGCACCCCTGCCGGCCTTTTCAGCATGTATGCAGGCCAACAGCTAGACTGTCGGTTATGTGGCTCCCCTCCACTGCCTTCCTCCCCTTCACATGTCTGATTGTTTTCCTAAGTGGCATTTTATATTGTGTGTTTAGGTTGAAAATTCAGACTCAAGAACAAATGAAGACACTCATAGCAAGTCTTTGGACAAAGGAGGTAAGTTCCTGAACTTCAGAAGAGTAATTTTCGTATTTATTCTAAGGACCATTTGCTAAGTGATTTCTGTGTCCAGTCCCTATGCTGATTATAAACTTTTGCTCCTTTAATTCTTGTGATCCAGTAAGGTGAGTATTAATGTCACACACATAGTTGAGGAACCTACGACTTCAAGGTCAAGTACTTACTTGAGTCCACCCATCCTGTCAGTGACCTTGTCCTAAAATACAGCTTCCTTAAGTGGTGTACACAGTTCATGTGTGCAACTCTTAACTGGAAGGTTTTCATTTGAGTGTGTAGGCCAACAAGTCTTACTTCCAAGAAATCAGTAATTGGAAATCCTACAGGACACAGTTCTAGTCTGACAAATACAGTTTTCATGAGGGAGTCACTTGATAGCAGTGGGGGTTTTGTTTGTTCTCAAATAACTCTTCAAATAAATCTAGTGTGAAGGAGATATCTGGTAGTTCTGTGTTAAGAACTCAGCTGTGTGCAGTTAGCTTCCAGCTGGCAAACTCATTCTCAACCAGGTGGTTGGCACAGTGTCTGTAGCAATGGGCTTGAGAGTGTTGGAGATTGTGAGGATGGCACAGGACAGCACAATGTTCAGATCTGTTACTCCCTCGGTCTCTGAGTTATACTCAGTGGCCCCAATGGTGACAGGGATGGGACATTTGAGAGATCTACTCTCAGGAGACAGATCTCATTCTACACAGCCTTAGCATTCCTCATCTGCTGAACTTTAATCTAAAGCATCCATGTACCCATTGCCCAGTTTTGTCCTATATTAAAATTTAACATATTGTCTTCATTGTTTTTAAATGTTACAAATACAGCTGAACCCTCATTATACTCCACCAGTTCCAGTGTCTTCCCTTCCTGTGCTACTGCAGAGAAAACCACTGAGTCTACAGTTACTGTATGCGTAATACATAGAATTATATGCCAGGCATTAGACAGAAGATACTACATGAGCTCTTTGTTCCTCACCTACACTCAGCATTTTGTTCTGAGATTAGTCCTGTTGAGGTCATGTTCATCTCACTGAATGTGTCAGTCGTCCACTAGACGTGGGCCAGTTGTCATGCCTCACTTCATCCAAATTTGATACTGTCACGTTTGTCAGTGTCTCCCGCCGAATCTGATAACTCTCAAATGGTATCTCCTTGTTTTCCTTGGACACTTCTTCCTGCTTTGTTACTGCATAAGCAAGGAGAGAAGTGACTTTGGAGTCTGCTGTAAAATCAGCATTGGGAGCCCGGACATGTTACTAGCCTCCTGGAACCCTGTTTACTCATCTCAGAGCAGGGAAATGAGAACACTTACCTGAATCTGTTACTGTGAGGCTCTTACCAGGAACCATTTTAACATGTGTACCGCAGAGCCTGCTGTGTAACTGGAAATAAGATTATTAATCCAGTTTTGGTCTTTCCTCTCTCCCAACCCCAAAAGAAAATTATTAGAATGAATAGATATTTGTGGTTCTCCTTTTTTATTCTTTTAATTTGTTTATTTATTGCACAGAGATTTCCACTGGTAAAAAGGCTGACACAGGAGCTGTAAGAGATCACACTGGTGAAGCAAATGCTAAGGAGGTACGTTTTCCTAATCAATTCCGTTATTTCAAGTCCTCTGTGTAGGAGAGGAAGACCCCAGCTGAGATGATTGATACCGTAACTGGGGTAATGGGGGGAGAAGTGTCAGAATCAGTGAGTTTGGCTCAGGACAGGCCAGACTTCAGAGCTGTTGTGCATAGGGTCACTGTGAGTCGCAAGCAACTCGACAGCACATAACAACAGCATGCATAAAGAAGGCTTTAATTCACTCACGTGTGCTCACACTCTCAGAGGGTGTGTGTGTGAGAGAGAGGGAGAGAGAGAACAGAGAGAAAAGTAAAAATTAGTAAATAATAAGCACTTACTAAGACATTTGAAGGTGAAGGCAGTATAGAATAAACGAGTGATCAGACATTGCAGATGTTGTAATTCATGTTCTAAAAAAAAGTGAGTGAGTCTTTGAAAACCAATATGCTTTGTAAATTGTCAGTCAAATCATATTTTAAAAAAAAGTTAAAGAATCTCTATTCATTTTCTCCCATATTTAGTAGCTTTCATCTTTGTTTTAACATATCCATGCTGTTCAGTCTAAGTTTTTGCATATCCCATCTTTTGTCAGCTATAAAAACAACATTCTTTATCGGTCGATTAGGATAAACACTACCGATTAAATTCTGATACATCACCTTTTTAAATTGAAATGTATCCCAACTTCAGAGCTGTATTCTTTACAACATAATTTAGAATTGTTGAAATACGGTATTTGGTCAAAAAAATAGATATTTCATGTAGATTAACATTGAAATCCAGAGACTCAGATTTTTAAATTTATCAAATCCAAATCTAGATGTCAAAAGTGCAGTTCTAGATTTATTAAAAATGTATATAAAAATTTATTCCAAACACTAGATGTTAAAGTGTACTCCAATTCATTAGATTTAGATAAAAATTCTGTTGCCTTTAATATGATCATTATTAAATCTAGGTTAAAATTCCAGTCCAAGAAGAAGAAAGGCATACAGCTAGAAGAAAACGAAAGAAACATTATCCGTCTTCAGACGATGACCTAGGTATTTGTAATGTTTATGTTCCTGCTTTAGATGTCTTTGAAAACTGTATTATGTTGACATCTAGAATCGTTGGCCAAAATGAAGAAAGTTCTTGAGAGTGAGGACTGAGACCACTTTGTTTCCAGATTGACTTGGCGCCTCTCAAGCTCTTCCAGAACTCAGATCTCCTCTACAGACCTAGAAACTCTGCTATTCCCCATCAGAGACCTAACCATAGGAGCTTAACTCAAAGCCAGGCTTGCCTGTCTGATGCCACGGAAACTTTATTTTCTTGCTGTCTCAGATGGACGTCCTATAGAGCTAGTGAAAGCCCTTCTGTAAACATACATGTGGGAGCTCTCGTGTGGCTCAAAGACGATTGATCCAGTGACTGGGTAATCAGGGTGTGTGTGTCAGAGGCAAGGAGATTGTCACAGGATAGAGCAGGGTCTGGGGCTGTTGTACATAGGGACGCTATGAGTCACAGGTGACTCGACAGCACATAAGGACAACAGCAAGCTGAGACCAGAAGCCAGTGTTCAGTGCTCAAATCACATGAGCTTATAAATAGACTTAGAATAACATCTGGCTTCACTGGATCATAAACCCACAAAAGAAGTCTTGCGCTGTCTTCCACTAGAACTCTGCATTTCATTTCGCTTTTGTGATACCTCTTTTGTTCCTTTGTGATTCTGGCAGATGATAATCCAGATGGCATAGTTTCCACACAGAGACAGTGCTCAGAAACGGAGCCACAAGATGCAAAGGTATTGTTTTCCACAAACTACTGTATGTTTCGGGGGTAACTTAATTAGATCGCTCTGAATGTCTGTTAGGGTTTTTACTCCAGCATTTCTTTTGCTTTATGTATTTCTGAAAATAATCACATATGGGTGTATATATTTTTAGGATCCTTTCAAAAAAACAAATGTTGCACCTTGTGATTCTTAAAACTGCATAATAGTCTTAATGTCATGATCGACAGATGACAGGATTTTTTACATTATTTAATGTCATCTACAGATGACATTTTTTACATTATTATTTTTTAAAATTTTTATGCTCACATTTTCATTCCTAGTATTTTCCCAGCATGTAGTGTGCTTTACTATAGATAAGGTTGCACTCAAATGTTGACATACACTAATGTGTATCAGTTTCTGTTTTCAGTGCTTTGCCTTATTTCTAGCTCATCCTTGCCCCTCTGATGTGTGGTTTGTTTCTTCCTTTGCTCTGTCTCTGTCAGATGACTTAGTGATATTCTCTCCCTGCCGGCCCTTTCTGGTGTCTGCCGATTGACCCACCTTCGGGGAGATCCCTCTTCTTGGGTAGTGTTCATCACTAGGATCAATACTTTCCAGAACATCTCATCCATTCCTAATTGGCTTTATTTCTTTAAGTCTTTCTACTTCCAGAAATTCCTTTTTCCACTGTTTTAAAATCAGCTTTTAAAAATATGTGCAGCTGGCTTCCACTTCTAATCCAGTTCAGAGTGTCTTCCCCACCCCCCCCAAAAAATTTAATTATATATAAAGTTAAAAAAATAAGGGGAGCTCCGGTGGCCCAGTGGCAAGAAGCTGCACTGCAATCCCAAAGATACACGGTTCGAATCCACCAGATGCTCTGCCGGGGAAGGACGGACAATCCCCTCCTGTATCAGTCAGGTCTGATTTGACAGTACACACAAATAATAAAATAAAAATAATAATAAAAAAAAAATTAAAAAAAAATAACGTTAACAGTCAAATGGAAAAACTATCATGTTCTTGGGAATGCCAGTTATTTGCGGCCAGGGTTGGAAAACAGGCTTCTGAATTCATCCCTCCCCCACACTTCTGTGAACAAAAGTTATGGGGTAATACTCCTCGGCCAGGAGAGAATCAATGAGAGAGATCTTTTTATTTCCCCTTTAATTTACTGTCAGCTTTTTCTAAGTAAAATTTAGTTCAGCCATTTTTATTTTAGAATTGCTTATAGCAGTAGTATTTTCAGTATCCTAAATCAGTATTTTCTTTCATGGAAAGGTGACTGCAGGCAGCGTGCATTCTGTGTTCTACTCAAATCCCCAGCACAGCCAGAGGTTCCCGGCTGAAAACCAGCACCACCAACGCCGAGCCATCACTAGAGGCGTGAGGGAAGAAGTGCTCCTCGTGCCACCAGGCAGTCACACTCATAGTAACTTCCTGTGCAGCAGCACGAAACACTACGCAGTGGACTTCCTCTATCTAGACTTAAGGAAGAAATTAAGCTCTACTCAAACAAAGTGTTGGAGAAAGTGAGGGTGGCTCAGGATAGGGCAGGTACAGAGCATATGTTCTAGGTCACGTTGAGTCACAGTTGAGGCAGCGACACTTTACTGAGCAGCAGCGCAGAGCTGAATCAAGAGCGGCACTGGTGCTGTGCCCCATGGAAGGGCGCTCCTGACGGAGTCTTGGTCTGTTTGTGTAACCCCAACGCTGACCCTTCAGGAGATGTTAAAGAAAGTTGTGAGTCCGGCATGCAGGACTTGGGAACAACTTCTTTGGTCTGTTTTCCTTTAAGGGTTTCTGATTAAATAGAGGTTACAGGCGCTCAGCTAAATGTATTTATAATCTGTTTACCTAGATTTAACTACGTTAAGCCCTCTTGAACAAGAACAGGCTTAGAAGTCCCACAAATAAACAATAAAATTAAGGCAATGTTTATGTTGCAGACACAAATAAATAATAAGATAACTGAGGCTGATACTTCTGTTACAAAGAAATAACAAGCTTTTTATCATCCTAATGACTAAGTAAAAAAGAACAATATTCTAATGTGATCTGACAGGAGATAAGCCAAAAATTTCATTGTTTAAGAAGACTATTTGAAATGTGGGTGTCCAACTCTATCAAATCTGAAAGTGTACACAAATCATCTGAAAAGCTTGTACACACCCATCTAAGGAACAATTACTGGTCTTTCTCTATCCATAAGAAATAAGAAGGAAAAAATGCAGTTATTCCAAAGGACCAATGAACACACAAGCCTTAGGCTACATGACCTTGGGACCAGAATGTCTGCCTGGTGCCCAGCTACCACTTCTGTCTAACTCAGACAGAGGTCACAGGAGAAGGTCCTGGATAGAGTGGGGCAAAAAGATGAAACTGAAGTCAGAAAAGAAAAAAAATAGCCAGGCTGACTGGTGGAGTGGAGACTGTGGTCCTTAGAAATGGCCGGGCTTACCAAGATCCTTTGACCCTGGAACAAACTTACCGCTGGGTCTCCACTTTCAGACAAACTCTGTGTAGCCTGGAAGGTGAAGGTAACTCCACGGAGACACTCAGTGCCCAGAATCATTAACTGAATCAGATGAAAGGGCACCCTCTCCCCAGGGATGGAGTTAGGCCGTGGGAAGTATAGCAACAAGTAGCTATTTTTGAAGATGATTTTGAAATTCAGATGGAATAGATTCAAGATCGTATTTTGGTTCTTGTGGACTTATTTTCATTTTCTTCCACTTCAACTTGAAAAAACAAGAGACTAGTGGAAAGGCGACTCCCAGGGAGGAAGTGAGAATAGTGTGGTTACAGAGTGAATATTATAATTCATGTCTTAAAACAAAATGCATATGAGTGGATAGTCAATTTGTCTTATAAACTTTCATTCAAATCACAATTTAAACCAAGAATGTCCACACTAAATCTTGATGGCATCAATTATTACTTTGGGGAGGACAGGTTCAGTGGCTGTATTTCATTAGAGACTCTTTTGAACCAGTAGGATACATTTCTTGTCATAAATAAGTAAAATGATATGCAGACATTTGGATAATTTATTTTCAGAGCATCTTTGCAGCCGACAAAGCTACCAGAGCAGCAACAGTGAGGATGTTTCCACCTTGTAACCCGTGTCAGGCAGAAGCATATGTGGAAGTCATTGAATGGGAGCTAAACTGGTGTGTAAACCTTCACCAAAAAGCACCATAAAATACCATTAAAAAAAAAGTCAAAACTTTTCTGATAACTAAAAGCAGCCCAGTTGCCTTTGAGTCCCTTCTGACTCCCAGTGGCCAATGTTCCTTAGAGTCCAACGGCCACGTAGGCCTTTTCAGAAGAACATTGCCTTTGAGGGAGCTCTGGCCTCACACCCTTTGGTCAGCAGTGACCTCATTAGCCATGTGCACCAGCTGAACTCCCGGGTGAAGACTTGAACTGCTGGGCGAGCACTGTCTAGAGAGCCTCTGGCTGCCCTCTTATCCCTTCTTAGCCCTCCTGCTCAGTCTCACCCGTCCACGACCCCACCAGGGAGGAAATCATCGATGGCCAGTTTCTGCCAGTACTCCATCTGGAGCGTCTGTGGAGAAGAAAAGCCTGGGATGAGTGAGGAGAACGGTTTACAGCTTGCTGCCAGGGCGGAGGGGACAAGCTTGCTGTTTTACACTCGGACCTTATCCAGTGGGGCTGTTTCTTCAGCAGTCGTAGTTGGTCTCTAGCCTCAGGAGCAGCGTTAAGAGTTAGTCTTCAAGAACTTTTTCTAGGGAACAGTTGTAAAAGACAACTAGACCTTTGATTCCGAAGAAGCAAAGGTCGATGCAGTGTTAAGTTTGAAAACGAAGCTCCTTGTCTCTCTCAACTTCTCTGTAGGAAGAGAGCTCTGGCGATTCAGAAGAACTGCCTGCAAGCCGTAAGTCAAGTAACACTGTTCCAAAGGCCATAGAAGAAAAAGGTGCGTGACCCCTCTACTCAGTTATATTGTTCTGGGAAGTGGCTGAACCTTGAAAGAGACAGCCCCTCTCTCTGCACCCCTCATCTGCTGAAGCCCAGCAGGCTGGGCTGCGCCTTTGGCCTCCCTTACGCAGCGCTCTGGTTAGTAAGCCTTCAGCCATCACCTTCCTAGTGAGGTGGTTCCTGTTCTCCCCCAAGTGTGTGACTGGCCAGCACTGGACAGAGTAGTGAAAGTCCCTGAGCCTGGGTCTGAGTCCCCAGGTGAGCTGTGTTGTGCCACAGGCTGACCTCGGCCCAGCTGTGAGCTGACTCTCCTGTTCTGCAGATGACAGCAGCTGCGGTGACACCATGGGCGACAAGACTGAGCAAAATGAAGAGGACAGCCTGAAATCCCAGGAGGCAAGCCATCGTTCATGTCTGTCTGTCCAGCTGTGTTTCCAAATGAAAAGCAAATGAAGTGTGTTAAATCCTAGAACTTTTTCTTCTTTGACGGGTGCTCCCTTATTTATGGTGCACTGGGTCACCATATTGCCCGGTGCATCAGTGTCATGATGATTCATTGTAGTACTCTCTTCATTTCATCACAGCGTTCGTGTGAGACCCACTTACGTCAGGGGCAGGTTGCATGAGCCCAAGGTGCTCACTCAGTGGCAGTGTCACATTCCTGCCCTGACAGTATGGACAGGTTCCAAACTGGAGGCCTGCGCGGCTGGGATGGGAGCAGCAGCAGCAGCGGGGGGTTAGTAGGTGGACCCAGGACCATGTCCAGGAGGCTGAGGGAGCAGACAGCAGCCCAGCGTGCCTCACACCCATTAATAGATGCAGAGCCCTGTGGGGCAGAGAATCACAGGCCGGAGACAAAGCCCTGTTAATCAAAGGAGACACCTGGCCTCATTCAACAGCCTATTCTTCACGAACTATCTCAGAGTTTGCCAGGTTTTTAAGGCACAGGAAAGCTTTCCTTGTGCTTCTGTAAAACAAATTCAGTGGATTCCTGTTGTCTTAGCAAAGTTAACTGGGTCTAAATCGGTCTAGAGGCTAGTGTTTATTACAGAAATAAATGACACTCCTTACAGATTGAGAAAGCAGAGGGTCCGCGAAAGAGAGGAAGACCTTCCACAAGGTGGATTGGCGCACTGCAGCAGTGGACTCGAACACAGCAGAGATCGCCAGATAGCGCAGTTTTAACATGTTGTTCTTAGCATTGCTACAGTCTTGGTTGACCAAACGGCACCTAACAACAACACAGTGGTCTGAGGACTGATTGCATTGTCTCATTGTCCTATAATCCTCAGAACTCTGTTCTCACCATTTATCAGGAAAGGGACCTGCAGTGGGAGAAGTGAAGCCTTCAGCCCAAAATCACTTCGCTTTGAAGCGACGGCATGAACGTGAGCCCTCTTAGGAGGTGACTCTGGTTCATCAGCCGCACAAATGCTGTGTGTACAGATGGCTGGCAATCCAGACCTAGCCAGCAATACCTCAGAAGAAAAGACCTGGCAGCCTGCTAAGCAAGCTAAGACCCTCTCCGTGGCCCAGAAGGTCCACTGGGCTCAGTTCTGCTGGGCACACCCGGGGCACGAGCCAGCAACAAGCAGGAAAGCACCCTCAGCACCATGATGAGGAAACTTTGTAATAGTGGGACTTTTATCTCTGTGTGGCCTGATTATGTTTTCATTTTCCCCTTTAGGAAGATCAGCCTGTGATTATAAAAAGGAAAAGAGGGAGGCCTCGGAAACACCCTGTAGAAGCCACATCTAAAACAAGTAGGTGTCCGATGTCTTTTCCAGTCACACTCACTTCGGTTCTGAGCTGATTTTCTAAATGAGGTTCCTTTGCTTTTCAGAAGAGGACACCAGGCCAGACCCCAGCATTGGCACAGTGAGTAATAGCAGATGGCGGAAGCTCGTCACTTCCACAGACCAGCCTGTAATAGCTAGTGTTTGGAACTTTGTTATTTCTGTCAAAGCATTTGAAAAATTTTAACAGACTTCCTTATGTAAAACCTGGACTGACCATTCACATACTACTTGGATTAGTACTGTTTCCATATGACTGACTATATGAGTTGTCTGTCTTTGGGAGTCCATCCTCACTCAGGAGGTTGATTATGTCAGAATTCTGGAGGAACATGTGTTTTTGTGGTTAGTCTGCCGAAAGTTAGAAATTAGCTGTTTCATGTGATATTGAGATTGTGGTTTCTTTATGGATCACTGGTATGAATCTTAACACTTTTTTACAAAAAAAAAAAAAATAATAATTTAGTAAAGTGACTGATTTTACAAAAGGAAAATCCTCAGTAATACTTTCATCTTTTTAACTCTTTTCATCTTTGACCCTGAAGTGTAAACCCAGTGAAATCATTCTGTGAAAACGTTATTGCATGGATTTTAATGAGAGCATTAGAAAGAAAATAAGCATATATCCATCAACTCCATAAAGCAAATGGGATCCAGGCCTCAATTCTGTAACTTAGCGCCCAGATTTCTGACACATGGCCAAGCATGTCACCTGAGGCCTCCATTTCCGTGGCCCCGAGTCCTTACCGGAACCATGTGTGCCTGGGCTGACCACTGTGCGATGGATGTTGCAGGGCACGTTCCTCACGGCGGACCGCACTGCGCATCACCATCTCATGGCTCTGGAACCCCAGGGAGAGAGTCTTGTTGCAGCCCAAGTCTCACAGTGTACAGGCTGTGTGTTCAGAAAGCGTGGGGATCCTTGCCTGCTTAGTCTAGTGAATCAGCTGCAGAACATAGGAGAGTTGCATAAAAAGTCGTTGATCACTGATTGTCATTGAGTCGAGTCCTCCCTGTAACGACCCTTGTACACAGAGTAGATCAGCCCCATGGGGCTTTCAAGGCCGTGGGAGTTCAGAAGCACATGACCAGGCCCGTCTTGCACAGGGTCTCTGGGTGGATCCCCGCCAGCCCTCTTTAACTGATGCCACCCGGGGACTCCACACATAGTATATGGAGGCTCTGTGGGTTCAAGACAACAGCAGCATAGGTTCTAACGTAGCAGCAGTTGTGAGGATGGGGCAGGCCCTGCAGTGTTTCCCTTTGTTGTGTTAGATCTTGACAGTACTTAAAAAAACAAAAACAACTTCCCCCTTACATCACTGACCCTGTTTCTGTCTAGTGCTGATGCACTGCTGATTCCTGTTACGATTTGTTTCCATTCAGGTTGAACAATCTCCACCTAACAGTAAAGTGAAAGTAATACAAACAGGTATGTACCTAGAGCATACTTGTGTGTAAGGGGAGCTGGCTCTTGGGGGAAGCTTTAGAGTTTCATTCTGTTCATTCTCCTTGAAGGACAAGGTATCCTCAATAAAAGGCCATCTTAAATCCATGAAAGATCATCTCCGTTGACTTTTCCACTAACTTGAGTCTTCCTTAGTATGAGGAGTAATTGTGTTTAAAAACCTAGACTTTTCTTTGCGTACAAGGGAATGCTGTTTCAGAAGAGGAGAGCTTTGAGCTTGGGAGGAGACTTCATGACACTGAATACTCTTCTGGGCCTTTATAATAATTTTAAATTCAAAAAAGTAATAAGATGCAAGTTGTGGAATATCAAAAGTAACCTCTATAACAGGTTTAAGTTTCATTCAGAAAGTAGGATGTGTTGGTAAGTAGAAAAAGACAGTACAGTAAAGACCAGCTGGGAAGCAAGAGACTTAGAGCGTCATAGATGCCCCGAGACGGGTGCTCTCCCTGTGACACACCCTGGTACAGGAGCTCTCACTGGCACTAACAACAGAGGAACACAGAAGCTCTGATATACAGGCTTTCTCTGTGACAAACACCCCAATATGGGAACTCTTCATTGTGACAGAAACATAGAGGACCAAAGACAATGTGATATGGGAGCCTCCGTGTAATTCAGGAAGCCTGAAGAGCCTTCATAGATGAAGATGAAGGCAGCAAAAAACAAGATAATGAGGGCATTTCCTTTAAGGAAGCAGATTACAGCGCAGTGTTTACGAGTATGTTGAAAGGAGGAATGGGTCCACCTCAGGAACACTGTTACCAGGAAGGCATGAACCCCACTCCAAATCCAACTTTGAAAGAAGCCTCTACAGCTCACAAAGCCTAGAACTCAAGACCTGCTCCTCAGCTACAGATTTCCTTAGCTTCCACTGGCCAGGTTATGCGAGTATTGATGTTATGCAAAAACACATCATTACTTTACTCCCGAACCCCAGAAGCCCAACTCAGTAGGCACACAGCCGTAACCCTCACAGCAAGTCTTACTCTTACCTTACTCTATGGTGTTTGTTACTGCCAGGTGTACATTGGGAATGTTCAAAGTAGAGTTTTCAACATTGTCATAAAATGTGAAATGTCAGACAATGAGATAGTCTGTAAGTGAGGAGCAGACCTGCCCTTATCCTCATATTCCATGGAGGAGAAATGACAAAATCTTGAAAACTATCCCTACAGCAATGGGCACATTCCAGATGGTGACCATCAGGGGCCTTGTCCAGGTATTTGATAATGTGTGCATATTCTTTTCATGGCTTAAAATTTTTTTACATAAAAACAAAAAGACCTCCTTGAGCTTTAAAAGTGGCTGTCACATTCATCCATTTTTCTTTTTTGGTCCCCACTAGATCTATCCTAATTCCTTCACCTCTTCGCTCCATCCACCAAATTCTACAGCCCCATGATTTCTACCCCACCCACCTTTAGACCCCCTTCCCACTGCCCTTACCCTCAGATATTTATCCACATCTCACTAGTTATCCTTCTGTTTTTACAATTGGGCTCTTATGTAATATTTGTCCTTATGAGACTACATTAGTTCACTCAGCATAATGCTCTCCAACTTCTCATTGCAACTGAATGTTACATAGTATTCCATTGTGTGATTGTACCACAATTTCTCAGTCCATTCATTTGTAAAGGACATTTGGGCTGTTTCCATGTTCTTGCTGTTGTGAATACTGCTATGAACATTGGTGTACAGATGTCCATTTGTGCCTCAGTTTTATTTTCCTTGGGGTATATTCCTAACCAAGGTATAGGTGGGGTCATACAGTATTTCTATATTTAGCTTCTGAGGACACGCCAAACTGCCTTCCTGAGTTCTTGAACCATTTTACAATCTCAGCAACAGTGTCTGAGAGATCCAATCTCTCCACATCCTCTCCAACAATTATCGCTTTCTGTCCTTTTGAATTTTGCCACTGCCACTGGGTTGAGATGGTATCTCATTGTGATTGTGATTTGCATCTCTGATTGCTAGTGAGTTGAACATATCTTCATGTGTCTTTTGGCCATCCAGATTTCTTCTTTATAAAAAGTCTTTTCATGTCTTTTGCCCATTTCGTGATTGGATTGTCAGGTGTGGTGTTGTTTTTTTTTCCCCCCCTGTGGACACCCTGTAGTGTTCTGTTAACTTTTATTAGGAGACCCTTGTCTGAGGTGGCATTACTGAATGTTTGTTCTCAGTCAGTAGATTTTCTTTTCACTCTATTGGAGGTTTTTGAGGTGCACAGGGACTTAATTTTTAGAAGGTCCTATTCGTCAACGCCATCCTCTCCTGGTTGTGCAGTTGTGAGGATTTTGTCTTCTTGACACGGAAGCATAATCCATATTGAAGGTCATAGTTTTTCAGCTTCACTAAGTGTTTCAAAAATGAAGGGTTTTTTTTTTATACCTAAACAAAATCAAGAAATCACTGTAACTTGTGTGCCCTTTAAAGACACTATTTTATAAATAGTTTTTATGTGATTTTACAAGTAGCAGGCCTTTGCAGTGATGTGATTATGTTTTGAGTTTCTTGTCTTCATTCGTTTTTCTGATCTGGACAATGAGCTCTGGTGGCCTAAAGGATAAAGAGTTGCACTACTAATCCAAAGGTGGGCAGTTCGAATCCACTTGCAGCTCCACGGGAAAACAGTGGAGTCTCTTCCTGTGTAATTTTTACAGTCTCAGGAAAGCTGCTGGTCAGCTGTGAGTCTGTCACGACTGAACAGCAGTGAGTTTTGAGATTTTAAGACAATCTCCCTTTCGTTGTCCTATGACTGGTTCACCTTTTCAGTATTGCAGGAAAGGCTGGCTGCCAGGCTTTCTGTAGATATGCTGCCTCATAGCTTTAACTTCATACAGTGAACTAAACGTCCTTTTTCTTGCCAATATACATTCTCAGAAAATCTTAATATCTACATAAAGTGAATACACAAAGAATAGGCTTAATGCAACTTTCAAATAGTCTTGTGATACCTACCTTTTTTCATTGCCATGATACACGTAGAGTTAAAAGACTTCCAGTTATTCCCCTATTATGTGACCCCTGAACTTAAAATCAAGTTAGTTGAACCTCATTTCCCTAACTGTGAAATGGAGATTGTAATACTTGCCATTAAATTGAGATGCAGATGAAGATAAAATCTTGATTATGGTTCTTGTTTCTTCACCCATTTTAAATTATTTTTAAATGTGTCTTCTCTTTTTCTGGATTCAGAATTGTTGGGTTTTTTTTTTTTAAATTTTAATGAAAGTTTGCAGAGACTTAGGGTTTCCAGTAATTCATTGTTGCACTTTTCTCCCTACCCACCCCCTCCCCGAATTTGTTCTTCTCTTAAGTAAAAGGTAAGTAAAAAAAAAATTCTTTCGTTGGTATACAATCCCTCCCCCCAAGTCCACTCCACTATGCAGCCTTCATTCTGGACTCCAGTCATAACAAGAATATCCATTTCTATATCCCTTTCAAACAGATCTCTCCCTCATTTGTTTCAATGCAGTATACATCATTCCTCCCCTCTTCCTCTGTCTTCCCTCAACCCCAGTGTCAGTCCTGTTTTACAACAGTGGCACTATGTAGTATTTGTCCTTTTGTGACTGAGATACTTCACTCATCATAATGTCCTCCACGGTCACCCATTTTGAATAATATTGCATGAGTTCCTTGTTTTTCAATGCAGCGTAGTATTCCATTGTGTGAATATACCACAGCTTCTCTAGGCATTCGTTTGTTTTGATGAGCACCTAGGTTGTTTCCAACTCCTTGCTATCATGAACAAAGCCGTGATAAACATGGGTGTGCCTATATTTGCTCGGGTGGCAGTTATGGTTTCTTTAGGGTAAATTCCCAACAGTGGAATTGCTTTTGAGTTAACATAACAAACAACAACAACAAAGTAAGACACAGAATCAACTGCGAGTGAATCCATTCTGACTCCTAGCACCCCGGCAGGAGAGAGCAGACCTTCACAGGAGGGCTCTGGAGGCGGTAGGGCGTTCTGGAAGCCCACATTGACATCAGCCTCCTGAGTGGTGTCTGGTGGCGTCAGACCCCCATCCTTCCTCGATAGCAGCTGCACACTTCCAGGGGTGCATCCGAGCTGAAAGAGACCTCAAAGATGATCATTTTATTTTGCACATTTCATGACAAAACTGAAAGCTCAGGGAGTTTGAGTCATATGCCAGAGTACACAGTGTACCCGTGGCAGGTGTGAAGCTCACTTTCATACTGCCCCTTGCTTTCGAACACACATTCTGCTAGGTTTTCTCTTCCCTTTCTGGTGGTTCAAACCAGTGATAAGTTGTATAACCATACATTCATTAGTACTGGTACGTCAGTCAACAGCATGCCAAAGTAAGGAGATTTCATTTTACACTAAGGAATTTTAATAAAGTGTCCTAAAGCAAGGTTCTGCCTGTTACTCAGAGTGTCGCCCTGAGTCAGTGAACTCGATGGTGCCTAATGGCGATAACAGTAACACAACAATTAAGCTCTTACTCCTAACCAGAAGATTAATGGTTTGAGCCCACTCAGCTGTCTGAGAATGATAGTCACCTGCTCTCATAAAGATTTCAGCCCAGAAAGCACTGTAGGGCAGTTCTCCTCTGTCACATGGGGTCCTGCTGGGTTGAAATCCATTCAGCAACACGTAACAACAGAGTATTCACAACATGGCTTTTCCTCTTTTTCTTAAAGATGAATCCAGTAAAGACACAGCTAGCCCACAAGAAAGAAGCCTAAGTGCTGTAAGTACAGAGTTTCCTATCTGAAATTTTTCCTTACAACCCAACCCCATGAATGATCAGTTGACGACACTTGCACTTTGCTTTTGTTGCTTCTAGGATGATAGTGAAGAAAAGGCGGGGACAGGAGCACGTCGGAGAGGAAGGAAGCCCAGGCGCTCGCTCACGCTCTCCGATGAGGCCGGTAGGACTCAGCCCTTAGAGCACCTGCCTCATGACACAGCCTGCCACTTCACAGTCACCTTCTCAGGGCTTTCCATTGCACGAGACGAAGTCCAGTGGGGTCCAGCTAGAATTCTTATTACATAAATACGTGTGAAATGGCTCTAATCCCATGTCAGAAATGGTACATCCCAGATGCTCCTGCATTCATGTGAATCTTTCATGAAGGCTGGCTGTGAACTGCCTAAGTAAACTATCCCCAGTATGTTTGAGATTAAGCTAAACAGTTGTGAATTGCAAGTGTTGAAACACAAAGGAAGTGAAAAAAAACACCTCTCACCTCCAAGTCCATCCTAAGTCCTTCTAAACTCTGTGACTCTATTCTTTGGAAGTCTTTTTGGGAATTACATAACCCAGGTGTTAACCTTCTGTTTGAACAGAATCCTCAGAGCCAGAAAGAAAACGCCAGAAATCTGTATCTGATGCATCTGAAGACAAGAAGGATCAGGAGTCTGATGAGGAAGAGGAAGAAGAAGAGGAGGAGGAGCCCTCAGGAGCCACCACTCGGTCCACCACCAGATCGGAGGCACAGAGGTAATAGGAGACAGCAGGGATCCTGAAAACCTTCACCAGCTAAACAGTTGTGATTTGCAAGTGTTGAAACACAAAGGAAGTGGAAGCAGCTCTGGGCTCATGGGGTTCTTCTTTTATGATCTCTGCCACTCACACCTGGTTCCCTCAAAGCTGGTTCCCTCCTTTCTGTCATCAGCAGTGAACACATGCTCTCTGCTCTTCTTGGAGAACATGTGTCCCCATGTCTTTTGGGACCATTTCAGAGTCTTTGCTGGGGTTTTAAATGCTTATTGAGTGGGTCCCATTCGGTTTCTTTTCCTACTATCTGTTGAGCGTCTCCTGTGTCTCAGATGTTTGCTGGACTTGATGGGTGAATAGAGAAGTCAGTCAAGCACAGCCTGTATTCCACGAGCTCACCATTAGGAAGAGAGCAGGCTAGTATATCACCATTATAAGAGGCAGCAAATCACAGCTTTGGAATAGATGGTTCATGTGAAATTGCCTACATTTTCTGTTTCCACAAATGCCAGTTTCATATGTGTCCAGAAGTATGTGCTTTTAAAACACAGTCTAGTCAGGATCCTCTTGGAAAATAGAACTGTGTCAAATAAGAATAGGAATGCTAATAAGTTCTCTCCCCTTCTTGGCAAGCCGTGGTGAAGGGAAGAAACCTGTTTCCCTTTGTTTCATTTAAGCAAGCTGTACCTACCGACCATACCCTCTCATAAGGAGTCATGGTGTTATAGTGCTTAACCTGTCAGGCTCTTAACCAAAAGGTAGACAGGTTGAACCCGCTGGCTACGCCACAGGAGCGAGATAGACAGATGCCTCCAGAAACATTTACAGTGTCAGAAACCTGATAGAGGTAACCATGAGTTGAAACTGAATCAATAGCAGTTCGAATCCACCAGCAGCCCATGGGAGAAAGATGGGCAGTCCCCTCCCATGTGGACACCTCCTGATGGCCAGCTATGAGTTGGTTCTAACTCAGTGGTACATAACAACACTGATGTTGTGGGTTGGCTTTAGTTAAGCCTGTGAACCCACTAAGTATTCCCACAGCACACAGTGTGAAATGTTGCATTACTATATAGTTTCACTCTAAAGGTTTGTAACGTTTCCAAAGCAAGCAGACCTTAATCTTGGTAGCCCCTTTTATTTCATTATCCAGTATGAATGCAGTTTCAGAAATGTTTCTTTCAGTGCCATCACTTAGGACCATGTGTCACTTGGTTACAGTAAAAGTCCCTTCTATTTGCATAAAGTTGCCTTCCTAATCCTGCCACACTGGTACAGTAGTAGCCATTTTTTGCCGTGGTTTGATAGTCAGGTTTTAGAGCCGAGAGATTAAACGTGAGGTGATACCGAGTTTGCTTCTTACATGGATCTGCTTAACTAGCACAGAATGGGGTTTCTGCTGACAGGAGAACTGGGGCGCCGGAGCCCAGCCATCCCGTGTCCTCATGCAGGACACGCTGCCAGCCCCAGTGCCTTCCTCCTCAGTGGTCCTGGGCAGATCCCTGTACAGTGGGGTCACCTCCAAGAAAGCTCCTGAGGCCTTCCAGCCGTCTTCAGATGAGTGTCTAGAAACAGCCTCTTAAAACCCCTTCTTCAGCTTGCCTAGCAGAGGAAGCACACAACCGTGAAGCTGGGTTTCCCAGGGCGAGGCTGCCCATGGCACTCTGGATGCTGACCTCTGTGATTCCCCCACCGTGGGAAACTCGACCGCTTAACCTGTGGAAGTAGAGGACTGCATGTGTGCTAGCCACTGTTATAAACAAAATAAACCCAAAAAACCCACCGTTTTCAGTAATGCGGTTTGCTTTGCTCTGTGCATCTGCACAGTTCATGCCATTGTAATGTATCTTGGGAACTGTGGGTTCGCAAGTGGCTCCCTTTCTCCTTAGATTCTGTGGAGATGCTTGACTGATTCCAGGGTGCTCGTAGTTTGTCCATGTCTCGGGCTTGAGTGGGCTCTCAGCAGGCCTCTGACTTGCTGGCCAGAGTGTCTGAGCCCCTGCACTGGCAGCTCCACTAAATGGCCCTGCTTTTACCCAGACGCGGGCAAGAAAAAAGGCTTTTGCTCAGGGTTCTCTCCATTGGGTTCCCTAGAAGCTGCCTCCCTGGAGCTTCTACTCTTGGTTCTAATTCTATTCTTGGGATTTTCTAGGGGACTTTCCATTAAAGTTTGGAGGGCAACTTCCAGATCTCGGCTCAACATCACTGCTGTTTGTTCTCTTCAGCTTATTTGTGTTGAGAAACAGATAGTGTCCACCAAGTGGGTCTGTGAATCCAGAAGAGGTCTGGTCACACCTTCTCTGCAGATGTTAGGTTTTGCTTTGCACCGTAAAGTGGCCTCTGCTTGAATTGTACACCAGCTAAATACGTCCTTTCTCTTGGAATTCTTACTGCTAAGTCAGATGTTCATCTAACACTTGTGTGGTCGACTCTTGAGACTTGGTTACAAGGCCTTGACATTGAGGCCCCTGTGGGTTATGTTTGAATTGATCCTCTCTTCTTCATGAAGCTCTTCTGGGACTGCTCTTCATTTTTCTCTTTTCCACAATTTTCATCTCTTTCCAGGTCACAGTAAAGTACCATGCATAATAAAAGCAGAGAGAGTTTTACAAGCAGAATTAGTCACTAATGACATTGAGATCTCTTTATAAGCAAGAGTCAGGAAAATCAGCCTTTTCCTGCTTTGCCCCGACTGCCCTGTGAGGACCCCCTTATAGTGCCAGGGACTGGAGAGTGGAGGGTTCCCCTGCCACCCACCAATTGCCCAGTGTCTCTGTAATCTGTTTCAGAAAGCATCATAGCGAGCCATCTGCACGTGCAACGTCCAAACTTGGCAGCCCAGAAACAGTTTCTCCCAGAAATCGCCAAAAATTAGCAAAAGAGAAGTTATCCACCAGCGAAAAAGTTAGTAAATCTCCCCCATTAGGAAGGTAAGTCCCTGCTTCCACTCTGACATCATGTTAACCCCGTAGACTTATTTTCGATACTGGTGATGCGTTCTTCCTGATTTCCTGTAAGGTGTGTGGCACAGCCTGTCATTATCTTTGGGGATCATCAGCCTCTGCGAGTCCAAGGCGGGCTGCAGGGCTGTGGGGGCTCCCCTCCTGCCCCTCCCCACTCAGGTGTGTCCTTAACAGAGGGCAGCTCGTGTCTCCTCTGTGTGCTCCTAGATGTGGGCTCTGGTGAACGCTGCGCGGCGTGGGTAAGCGTAAGACACCCCAGAACCGCAGGGGTTGGTCTTGGCCAGGAGACGAGGTCATGGCATATAGTGCACTGCCAGGCCAGCTGCCCTCCACCGCTGCCACCGGCCTGCCTCGCACTGCACCTGTAGCCACGCTGAGTCCCACGCCGCTGCCTTCACTTGTGCTGGCTCACTCTTGAGGAGTTTCCTCACTCCCTGCCTCCCCACAGACTCTGCCTTTGCGCCCCACCAGCCCATCTCCTGCAGGACATGCCCCCACCCTGCTTTTGCCCCAGTCCTCCCCTCCCCTCGGCACTCTCCACCAGCTCTCTGCGCTCTTCAGAGTGAGCCATTTAGAGGTCCATTTTGTTTCTCTTCTCGACCTCTGAGTGTCTTCCTTGAATTCAGGCACGTGTCTTATGAACATCAGAAAGTAAAGACGTCACAGTGTAAGGACTTCTCTGCACATCTCCTTAGGAGCACGCTGGAATGTCTGTCGGCGTCACCACGTAGCCCACATCACAGGGCATGCACCATCTAGCCTTACTGTATACGTGAAGCGGAGACTCAGGAAGGTCAGGATCCCGGCTTGCCAGCGTTGAATGTGCAGATGGATCACCTGAGACATGTGTTCCTAACATGTTCCCAGGTGCTGCTGCTCAGATGCTAGAGGGTGGGCCTGGCTAGCGAGCCACGCTCACGGCCGGGAGGACACAGTCAGCTGTGTGCTGCGCCCTGCCCCACAGCTCCTGTGTCTCACGCCGGCCCTGCAGCCGCTTGGGAAGCAGGCCCGGACGTGTTTGGAAGAGGTTTATTAACAAACTGGGCTTGGCATGTCTTCTCAGCCTTTCTACAGGAACATTATCTAAAAATCAGCAACAATGTTTGACTCACCTTGAGCCCGTTTTCTCTAAAAGTCTACTTCCTGGTGCGGCACTTGCCTGGCAGGTGTGCTGTCCAGGGGTAACTTGTGGGTTTCTGTAATGCTGGAAGCTGTGTCACCGATGTTGCAAATGCTGGAAAGTTCTCTCATGGTGGGCACGTTTCAGCAGAACCCCAGATTATGACAGACTGGGGCGGGTGGACCATGCACTTCTGAAATAGGAGCCCTCTGAAAACCCTGTGAACAGCAGAGGAATATGGACAGCTGCAGTGGGAGAGGTAGAGCCCAAATTGGAAGCCACAAAATGAAGACACAATGACTGCAGCACTGGGCTCAGGTGTCCGAGATGATGGAGATGGCACTGGACGGGGTCAGATCTGTTAGTCATGGGGTCGCTGTGAGCCACACTTGATGCAATGGCACCTAACCTAATGAAAAGACTGACTACAACTTAAAAAAACGGAATGTAAGTAGGAAATAGAACCGTAAGCAAAAAAATGTCTTCCATGTTCAGCAAGCTTAGTTTACCCAGTCTTCCATTCATTTATACCGTCGATACTTGCCGTCATGGTGAGGGAGTATTGGTGGTGCTGGGGTTAAGCGCTTGGCCACTAACCGAAAGACTGACCGCTCAGACCCACCAGACAGAGTCTAGGACACTTGGTGGGGCCTTTGTGCACTGCCACACAGGGTCAGTGTGAGTCGGTCACCCCGACAACAGCCCCTGAAGAGAAGGAAATGAATAAGGCCCAGGGGCTGCTCTGGAGAAACGTCCTGTCTACTGAGGGGGACTGGGCCGTGGTCGGCTTTGACAGCAGCCCACGAGAAGACACACAGTTTGGCAGGAGCTCATATTCCTGCTTCTGGACCTAACCCAGTGACACTTAGAAGATGGGGAACCAGTGGCATTTTCTGTTGTGTTCTTGTGCTGTAACCTGCGTTTAGAAGAACATTCCGCCGATATATTAGAGCAGTTAGTGAAGAGGCCGAGTCCCGGGACGTTCCCGCACAGGAGCCACAGCCTCTCGGGAGGAACGACTTAGACATGCAGGTGGTAGGTGTGGGGTGATTCCCAAAAGAAGTGACAGGGCTCAGAGCACGAGGGCACAAACGGGCACCGCGCAGCAGGAAACTGGAATATTTGGGAGGGAGAGGAGCCCAGGCTGGTGTGAAAGCAGGATCATTTATGGGCACTTCATATCTGGGGCTCTGGAATGCTTTCTCCTGATGGAATCAGCAAACCCCAGAGGGATCAGCTTACATATTTTATAGTTACCCATTTCACTCTAAAGCTTATCATTTGTATCTTCAGTGTTATAATTTACATTACGTTTATTATCTGTTCCTAGAACTGTAATGAGTGTCAGCATGGAGTGTCAGACACACAATGCTGGTGGCAGGCTGGAGAAGGGATGCTGTGCAGTGGGAGATGGTGGAAGCATCCTGAATGGCTCTGCCTTCCAAGCAGCGGTATTCTGTGGCGCTGGACCCATGGTTTTGTGCTTAGACCTCAGTGTTAGACTCTTACTTTGTTCTTGCTAGTTATTTCCACTGAGGATAATGTGTATATTGGTTGGACACGAAGTTGGTTTCTTTGCAAACACAGAGGACCTAGGGCCCAGAAAGCAAAGTCCACTGGCCAGGGTCATCCCAAGAACCAGAGCCTGGCTTCCCGACCTTTGGTACTCAGCCCAATCTCTTCCTGCCTTCCTCACCTCTTAGCAACACTGCCAGCTTTTCTTGATTCAAAACTCTTTCCTTTTTTTAAGCCACTCCAAAATTATGTGCTGCCTCTGTTTCTAACTCACATCTTTGCCTTAACTTTTGTGTGATGCAGATCCAAGACCCAGATCTCCCCCACCTCCAACAAGCGCAAGAGAGAAGCCAGCCCTCCAGGGACCCGGACACGGGGCCAGCAGCAGCGAGTGGAGGAGGCCCCAGCCCCTGTGAAAAAGGCGAAGCGATGATGCTGAGCACTGCAGGCCGGATGGCTGGGGAGAGCCCAACAGGAGGATGGGTCCCAGCCAGAGGGTTTTTTGTTTTTAAACCAAGAAACGGAGCTGCATGTGCTGTCATTTCCTAGATGCCAGCTTTTCCTTGTCAGATTTTAAACAACTTTATAAACGATTGTTCATAAAAGATACTATGTACATTTCTTTCAGATAAAGAAAAATAAGTTTACTTTGTATCTCAGCTCAAAACAAAGTAGTTGTATATTTTAACATTTCAAAATTGGGATTTCCCAATGTGACCCCTCACCAAGGCAGACCCTTCAGGCCCAGCCTGCCCAGGCTGCCGGGTCACCTGTGTACAGTATATAAACATGTAAAAATAGGCTGTATTTTACTCTATGTATGATGCTAATCGATGAACACTTTATTTATTTTACAGAGAAAACTTATCTGTGAACTTTATATCTGTTTATTTTATTTTATTATTATTGTAATTTTTCCTTTAATAAGAGGATTTTAAGTGCTGTGCGGCCGTATGTAGGGATTTTCCAGGACTCTGCCCTGTAACTGTGCCGGGGATCTGGCAGGAAAGTCAGACCTCCTCGCATGTCTCCAGTGAAGTAGCTTAGCGAGAGAAAGGCCCCCCGTTGCTTTTCTGTCCACAATTGTGACGATTTCTTATGAATGTAACTTGGTTTAGATTCTATTCGCAGCTGTGACTCCTCGCCCAGCCCCGCTGACAGGAGGGTCCTGGGTCAGGTGGAGTCTGCTTCCGCCACCTGCCCAGAGGCTCCTCTGTCCCCTGCCCGGCTCGGCCGGCCGACCTGCTGTCCCCACATTCGTCCCAAGAGCCGTGAAGGAGGCGCCGCTCTGCCTGCGGAGCCTCCACATTTTAGGTTGTTTTATACATGATTTCACGATAGAAGCTGGCTGATGCCAGATTCTTTTTTTAAACATGTTTTATCTCCCATATGAGCAGACTGTCCAACTTCAGTTTTTCATAAGGTTAAACTTTTCTCAAGATCAAATTTGTCTCTTGCAATGATGTGATGAGTTGCCAAATAATTGAGATTATTTTAAAATTGTTTGTTCATACTCTTGTTTTATAATTAAAAATTACATTCAATGTGTGTGGGTTTTTTGTTTACTTTTTTTTTAACTCTTACTGTAAGATGGATATTTCTGTCATTTTACATGGTTTCTTACTGAAATTTTTATATATAAATTATAAAGTGTTTCCCAAAATTAAGTAGTAAGATTTTTTTTTCTGCATTTTAAAATTCCTCCCTGTGAGACCTGTTTATTTTTCATATGAGTCATTGTTTTTATTTCTGTATAAGTCATTGCTACATATTGACATTCAAAATGAGCCAGTGATGAATCCCTCTCTCTCTCCCCCTCTCTCTCTTTCTCCCTCTCTCTCTCTCTTTCTCTCTCTCTCTCTCCCCCCTCCTCTCTTTCTCCTCTCTCTCATTAAACTTAGATGTAAAAGAGACATCAGAGACATGAAATAGAAGAGCTCTTCATTTTCATTGTTAAGGAGTTTTAAGCAGGGCTCTGAACCATTTCTGAAAACTTCACAACCAACCAACAGAAAAGTCATGGACAACTGAATCATTTCCAACTCGTTTGTAGCCCTGGTTTTATACAAATCCAGAAAGCCTGCACAAATCTTTCTTCCTTAAAATCAGGGAAGTGTACAAGGCCCTGAAATGTTTGACTAATCATCTTTGCACTGGCCAGCTCAGATTGATTAAGTAGTTGTTATTTGCCATCAAGTTGCCTACAACCCTGTGTACAGCATCTCTGAACCTTTCCCTGTCCTGAGCCAGTCTCCCTAATTCCAACACACCTACTCCCATTACCACTGTTACTATATAAATCCATCTTATCCAGGGTCTCCATCTCCTACGCTGTTCGTCCACCCAAACATGATGACCTTCTCCAAGGACTGAGTTCTCGTGGCTATGTGCGCAGAGTATGTGAGCTGAAGCTTCAGAGTCCTAGCCTCCAAGAAGAAATTTGGTTTCATCCTCTCCACGACAGACCTATTTGTTTTCTTGACGGTCCACGGTATGTTCGAGATTCCTCCAGCACTACAGTTTGAAGGTATCAATTTTTCTTCTGTCATTCTTAGTGCATCCTTAAAATGTATGCTTACTGGGAAACCAGTCCTGACTCCAGGAGCATCTGCTCTGAGCATAGTCTTCCAGGTACTGAGGTGCTAAGCAGGAAGGAAATGATGCTGTAATCTAATTGGAAGTACATAAAGATTGGGGCAGAAGGGGAGGAGTAGCTGGACCACTCTCTTCCAGTGATTCTCAGACCCATGCCGGTGGAGACACCCCCTATGAGACACTGAAAACACCTCAGAGAGCTTGCTTGGTGTGATTTGGTAGAAAGGAGGCTATACTGTCAAGTGTTGTACAATACACAAGACAGTCTTCAAAGGAGAGTCCAGCCAAAACCCACTATCTATCTGAGAAACAGTGGACTCCCCGAATTCGGCTGCCAGTAGCACTGCCTCTCACTTCCCTAGAATGATTGGAATACTGCCGCATCTGCTTTCCTCAGTCCTGAAGGAGATGTGGGTCACAGACGATGCCTGGTCAGTTGACGTTGCTAGTCCATAGCAGTCCTGTCCTTCCTGGCTCCAGGCCTCTTAGGGTCATCCACTGGACCCCTACCATCTGGTTAAAGACCAGGCCCTGCTAACAGACCTGCTAGGACCACCCTGTCTTACAATGACTCAGTATTAACATTTCCCATATAGATCTCACAGCACCAGATGGCAAAGCTGGTGCTTGAATGTGCTTTTTTTTAAACATTATTGCACATTTATTACATTCTGATTATTTTTATATTCTTTTTATTACATTTTTTACATTGCATTTTTACTTTTTTTACCATGTATATTACATTATTGTACACTGTGTTTTTTTAATTTTTTATTTATTCTTTTTATGTGTGTACCGACAAATTGGATCTGACTGGTACAGGAGGCGATTGTTCCTCCTTCTTCAGCAGAGCATCTGGTGGATTTGAACTGCACACCTCTGGGATTGCAGTGCAGTTTCCTACCACTAGGCCACCAGAGCTTGCCTGTACACTGTGTTTTATATAATATTTTCTGTCCATTACACTGTATATAATTATTACTATTGATCTATGCTTTTTATCACCCTTTCAAGTCCCCGTTGCATCTTTCCTCTCCCCCACAGCCCCCCAACTGCCCATTAACCTCTGCTATCCTTGGGATTTTCCCCTTACCCTTTTGAAGATTTATACATATCTTAGTCAGTTATCCTAGTTTTACAATAAATAAATATAAGAGATAATAAAATTTACAAAATAGTACTGAGCCTCAACAAGAAAAAGACTGATAACCCAATTATAAAATAGGCCAAGGTCATCTTGACTAAGGATATTCAGATGTCCAGCAAACACATGAGGAAATGTTCAAAATCACTAACAATCAAAGAGATGCAAATCAAAACAGCAATGAGATACCATCTCACTCCAGCAGCAATACCAACAGTTAAATAAACGTTAGAGAGGATACAGAGATTGGAGCTCTCGGGTACTGCTGGTGGGATTGGAAAATGATATGACCACTTTGGAAAGCATTCTGGTGTTTCCTCAAAAGGCTAATATCTAAATCCCATATGACCCAGCTATTCCACTGCTAGGAATATACCCCAAGGAAATAAGAGCTGAGACACAAATGAAGATAGCTATATACTTTTATATTCATTGCCGCATTATTTGCAATAGTAAGAACCCAAATGCCCACAAGTGAATAGACAGAGTAGCCCGTAAATTCACCAACGGAATACTATGCAGCATTAAAGAAAAACAGATTCTTTGTAAAGTAACAACAAATGGGAAAGTTTAGAAGGCATGCTGAGTGAAATAACTCAGTCACAAAAGAATCACATAAGATTGTTATTATTTTGTGGGGTGTTTTTTCTTTCCACTTCAGTTTTTTGAGAGTACACACAATAAACCATACAGTTTCTACTTGTGCAGTTCATTGTGGTTGACTGTATTCTTTGAATTATGCAACCATTCTCACTCTCCTGAGTCCTCAATAATATAAATGTTCTTTTCCCTAAAGCTCTATATAATCTTTCAAATTGCTACTGTCAATCAAATCCCATACAGATAATTCTTAATATCGTGCTCAAGGCAGATGTTCTTTACTGAGTATTCTATTGTTTGACTTTCAGAAAATGTCCACTGATGGTTTGCTTTGGAGATCATCTCAGGGCAATCATTAAAGGGTTTGTCCAATTTCTATGGCTCCAGAAAGTTGAGTCAAAAGGAATTTGAAATTCTGTTCCTATTTTCACTCTTTTGATTAGGATATTTCTATAGGAACCTTTTTTTTTCTTGTTGTGTACCTTTGAGTCGGATCCAACTTTCATGGGAAGAGATTGCCCCTCCTTCTACAGCAGAACATCTTGTGGATTGCTGCTAGGAACTTTTATTAGCATATTCCGGAACGGTTGCCAGGACCATCTAGGTTCATGGCAAAAGAGGCTGTTGTCCATAAGAAATGTTTATCACTCACTCTTATACCTCCTTTTTAGACCCTCTTCCCTTCCTCCATCCTTCCAGGCAAATAGAAACCAATTTCTTGTGCCTTAGATGACCACCTCCAGACCCCAGGAAATACATGATGAGAATTGAAGGAACAAGAATTTGATTTTATTTTTTTTAATCTAATAGCAAGCTTTGAGCTTTGGTGCTGGAGAAGAGTATTGAGAGT